GAGAGGTATGTTGTACAAGGAACAACCTTTGATGGGTTACACAACTTTGGGGGAGGGGAACTATTGTCCACCTCTTCTCTTCTCTTCCCCTCGCTCTTTGCATCTGTCCAAGGTTGGGTGTAAGGTACGTCCCGCAACTTAGAGAGATACCTACATGTAGTTCTGAGAACAAACTTTGAGGCCATTTCTTCATCTTTTTTTTTTCTAAAAATCTACCACTTTAGTTTATAGGTATTATCTAATCTTGAAATCGTTTAATAAGGGAATCTAGATAATCTTCAGTTCCCCATCATCTACTTCTCTCTCCAAGTCTCAAATCCCATCTCCGAGACCTTATGATTTATCAATATAAACGAGAATCGGTCTTTTGAGGTCGAGTGTGTGAAGGTGGTTTCTTTAGGTAAGTAGGTAGGCGGCCTTGATAATCATTTCAATGGCCTTTCTTCTTCTTGTTCTTTCTTTCTTTCCTGTTCCCCGTGTCGCGTCTCGCTGCGCTTGTTTTGTTTTGCGCTGAAAAACAGAGACAAAAAGAAAGATAAAAAAAAAACATCCCAAACGCCTCATTATCTTCACCCGCTATATGTAAGTAAGTAGTTTCCCATAAAACTCAAACTCCCTTCGGTGGACCGCCTAACATCTGTCCCTCTTTCTTTCTTTCTTTGTACTCTTTTCAACCCCGTCCGTCGTCTTTGAGTGTGTGTCTATTACTTTTTCTTTCTATACATTCTTTTTTTCCCAGGTCCGTTATTATCACTTAACCTAGGTAAGCCGGATCGTCCGCTGATTGCGCGTATGTCGGCCACATCTGTTGGGATGTCTGGGCGAGCTGCGGTAGCAGAACCCTTTAGCGCCCTCCTGGGCCGGAGGGCCGTACTTCTCGGTCACGAGGCAGTACTCGAGACCCGGGCCCATCCACTCCCGGATGTGCTTGTTGAGCTCGCACCGGGCGGTGCGGCACTTGCGGCAGTAGACCTGGCCGCGGGGCGACAGCATCGCTAGCGAGTTTCTCTTCTCCGCTCCTCCACCTCCTCCTCCTACGCTCTCGCTGATCTTCTTGTTATTGTTGTTGTTGTTGGGCGGGAGCAGGAACGGGCCGGCGTGGCGCCAGACCCACTCCATGTCGTTGGGCCCCTCGCGCCGCGCCGCCAGCGACACTTTCCCGTGCAGGCGCCAGTGGATGGCGTAGAAGTGCCGGCTCGTCAGCGCCAGGCATACCGAGTCGATCGGGTCCAGGAAGTCGAAGATGGCGAAGTGCAGCTCCGACGGCAGGTGCGCGAGCTGCAGGGCCACGCCCGGCCGGTGCGTGAACGGGATCGGCTCGTAGTCCATGACCGAGTAGGACCTCAGCGGCGACGCTCCTGTCGTGGCCAATGCGGCAGTCGCCAGCAGCATCTGTTGTTGTTTTTGTCGCAGGTAGTTGCCTCCTCCCCTCTCCCTTCCGTCATTGCCTCCCATTGACGGTACCGGGGACGGCGAGTGCGGGTATGCGCTGCCGGAGGGTTGTTGGAAGTACGAGTCTCGGTTGCCGACGAGTGTCGAGGAGGAGTCCCGAGGGGTGAGGGCCGGACTGCTGACGCGGGATACGGGCGCCGTCGGAAGGAGGTATTCGGATGTGGTGAAGGCGCGGCGCGGCGTTATCGTCACCACGCCGCCGTCCGCCGTTCTGAGGACGCCATCTCTCATCATCTGCATGTTCTTCTTGGGCTCCTCTTTGCCCTCTTCCTTTGCGTCTCGCTTCTCCTCTTCTTCTTTCTGGATTGCCATTTGTGATGTCGGGTTAGACTGCTGCTGCTGCTGCTGCTGCTGCAGACTCGCAGCCATCAGGCGGTTCGAAACGTCTAGAACGTCCATTGTGTCGGACATGTGGGAATGCTGTTGGTGTCCTCCTATCGTGGTTCCCAAAGCGGGGGAATAGCGCATGACTTCCGCCATTGTAGCGGGAGTGGACGTGGTCCTCTTCTTTTCTTTTAGGGGAAGAACTTCGGGGACCCTGAATTTCCCTTCGGGCCGGAGTTGGGTGATGCTCAATGAGTGGCCGTGTGTATACTCAAGACAGGCCACACGAGTCGTGCGCGGGTGGTAAGTAATAAGCTACCCGACGGGAAGCAATCGATATTGTTTGCTTTGAAGCAGCTAACGGCTCACTTGGGAAGCGAGACTAGTCTAGTCAGGTTTACTTTGCACCTTGCTTGTCTAGGTATCGTGGGTTTATGGTTTATGGCCCCACGAGCAAGGAAACGGGTCGAGGTATGACGGACCACTGGGGAGGGCCCGTAAGTAAACTAGCGGTGACTCGGTGGCGATATGATGATAATTATCGAAAGGGGGGAGCAGGGCAATTTTGTCCCGGTTACTTGTGACAGCAAGGACGGAAAATGAAGGGCCTTATGAGTCTGTCTAATACCGTCACAGAGAGTTGGCTAGTACAGGAAGACGTTTGATGTTCAAGTTGTTTCCTGAGAGAAGAATTGTACGGCTATTTGAATGAACAAGTCGGCGGCGGGTTGGTTGGAAATGCTTGGCAGGGGAAACTGTGGTTTGAATCAATATCGATAGAACAAGAAGTTCAAAAAACAATGACATATGTCGAAGAAAAAACAATGAGTTTATATACCATATACCTACCGGTACATAGATCGGGCTTTTTGCCAACTTGATTTCACCTCACTACCTATCCTGTACAAGGGCTGGGCAGGCTGGGTTAGACTAGAATAGACTTAGATAGATAGATACATAAGAAAGGAAGGGACTCGCCCATTCCTCTCGTAAAGGAAAGCAAAGCTCACGTGAACATGTGAATGATCATTGATCACACTATCTAGGTTAGGTAGCCTAGAAAGCCTGGGCAAGTCGATACCAGGAATGGACATTGGGTCCAGAATCCTAAACAACCTAAACCTGCATCTCTTTACCGCTCTCTCGTCGAAGGGCCGGAGGATGGCGCGAGGATGGGATGGCGCGGGGCAAAAGTGACCACTGACAATACATATGGTATGTAGACAGAGAGAGGGGCGGCGGCGGCCCCAGAAAAAACTTTTCCAAAAACATCGTGACATCTGGAGCGGGAGGTGGAGCTTTTCGGGAGAGATCGCCTTGCGGGACTAGAACCAACGCATCACTAGTACACGCGAGACTAGACTCGAATCGAACTCTCTTGCCTTCTTTCCTGCTTATCCCGTGCTTCTTTTCTGTCTGGGGAAAAGTAAGTTAGTTTTCTCGCTTTTTCGGTATCTGATCGTTACTCGGGGGAAAGCGGGATTTAGGCTAGGTTAAGGACCTTACTTACCTACGGGGTATGAGATGACATAGCATGATGACATAATGAGGATCCGCAGAGTAAAAATATGTAGACTACCTAGATAGAGGGGGAATTCTCAGGTCCGAATCTTTTTTATTTCTCGTCCATGTACTCTTGAAGACCTTGGTATGGAATACAGCTTTGCTTTGGCTTCATGGACACAGACAGTCAAGTTTCTACACAGCCAGGTAAGGTACCTGACGTAGGGATAGAAGATAGGTACCGAATGAGCAGGGCTCGGGGATCCCCGCGCGAACCCCGGAGAAATGAGGGACCGGGTCCATATATTACATATATACCTCATAGGCTCATACAGCAGTTAACCTAGGAATGTGTGTATGTCTTCTTCAGTGCAGAAGAAAGTGAAGTCTGATATAAAAATAACATGTGAATCAGTAACTGTTCAACGAGCAATAGGAAGGAAAAACCCGGTCCTCTCCGGTCCAAGGAGCCTTGGGGGGTTTCATCCTTCATTTTTGGCCACCCGCACCCATCATCAGCCGGATGCCCTGCGATAACGGACCGGACAAAAAAGTCTCGAAAAATGCAATGCAACACCACAACGCCGCAAACACACGTACAGGACACAAACTGCAGCCCAACCCAACGCTTCCTTGCCCACGTTGTATGTATGTAAGTATGTATGTAGATTAGGTAGAAGGGATAACCACGCTCGCAGAATAGTAACCTTAGACGTTAGGTACCTTCAAATATGCAACAACTCTGACGTTGCATGGGACCTAAGGTAATGTGTGTGGGGGTTCTAGATAGATACACTACGTACCTTTGGCCAGTCGACTCCCGGACACCACGATCAGGTGATAAGCCCTCCAAGTACCTAAAGGTACCGACATATAAAGTGGGTTATGGTCCAACACCTAACGTATACTCGCCACGCGATGTGCAAACCCGACTGTCTCCCAAAGTCCATGAAGCTATTGCTGATCTCGTGCTACCAATCAGTTGGGTAACGTCACAAGGCAAAGCAACTAGGTTAACTGGTGTTGTTTACGTATCATGACCTATCATGTTTTTAGTCGAAAAGAAACAAAGTACCTACGCGAGACGACCGTCCTCACTTTAGGTGCAGTGAATTATCTAAAAACGTGTCAGTCAGTCAGGCCAGGCAAAATCAATCAATCTAAGTATCTATCTATCTAGACTATGGCATAAGTCAAATCTTGAGATGGGCTTAAAGGCCATAGGTAGACCGGCCCTGCAGGGAAGATAGTATGACAGTTTTGACACGCATGCAATGCAACGCAACGCAACGCATCAGGTAGCCTACCTACCTAACCTACCTACCTGACCCCCATCCAGTATCTCCCTAACCTATAGGTCTAAACCTATAGGTCTAGGTTAGGGTACCCAAGTGTTGATTCCCTTCCCTTTAAAAGAGAAAAAATAAAAGAGGTGTAACAAGGAACTTGAAGGTAGGTAGGAAAGACGTGGCATGGGCATGAAAACAAGGCTCTCTTACCTTATCATACAGACCTCGCTCTCGTTTCTGCCACGTGTTTGTTTACATACCAAGCCTAACATAACATGCCTACAACTAAGGTAACCTAGAGCATAAAATATAACTAACTAACAACAAAAATTGATAACAAACCTTAGTTTACATTTATTTCTCTTGTATAAATTTTTTATGAGCAAAAAAAGGGAAAGCGCACTGGACACACAAGATAGAATTTATAGGAATTGAACCCGACCCGATTTGAACGGATGACCTTCTGGATGCTAGCTGGCTGAATTTTGTGGGAAAATCAATCGGCTGGAATCAGATGCTCTACCGCTGAGCTACGGGTCCAGTGGTGCTTTTGATGGTGTACTATCTGTTAGGCGGGGTCTATGTGCCTCAACATTGCGCGATTATTTGCTGTGGTGGGGAAAATGACAGAATACATGTACATGGAAGCATCAAGGACTTTGAGCATGGGAAGGCAAGAAAGAGGGAGGGTTGATGCAGATTAGTTTTATTCTTTTCCGTAGCGTACTTGTAAAGTCTATATATATATGCACTTCTTTCATCTAAGTTCTAACATTTCCAACTAACTTATACACGCCTTCTAACTTTTTACACACTAGACCCATCATCAACCGCTTTCCCATTATCAGCATCATCGTCGTCCACGGCCCCCTCCCACCCAGAAGCAGCCTGGACGACGATGACGATGGCCGTGAGGACAACAGCAGCCTGAAAGAGGGTGCGCAGGGCATCCGTGTATCCCGCGACAGCGACCCTCTTTTCGGCCTCGGATAAGTCGCCATGGTACACCGAGAGCGGGCTCCCTATCAGCTTCCTCACCAGCTCCTCTCCTCTCCTGCCCTTTCCCTCGAACCCCTCCTCCAGGCTCCGCCTCAGCGTGCGCGCGAAGATGCCGCCTCCCACGGCACTGCCGAAGCTGCCGGCGAAGCCGCGGAACGTGCCCAGCAGGCCCGTGGCCTCGTAGTGCGCCCGGGCCGGCGTCAGGTGCAGCAGGTGCGCGAGCGTGTAGTTGAGCGCCCCGCCCGTGAAGAGCCCGTTGAGGAACACGACGGCCACGTACAGCGCGAACGGCGACGACGGCGCCGACGACGCCGCCAGCCCCAGCAGGCTCGCGCCGAAGAGGAAGATGCACGCGAGGTTGGGGCCCCAGAAGCTGCCCGCGCGCCGGATGTGGAATGCCTTGAAGACGTAAGTCGCGCTGCTACAAGACAATGCATTGTCTCATGGGAAGGAGGGGAGGGGGGTCAAGCTTACACCGACGAGCAAACCACCGAGTCCGAAGCCAAAGTTGGTCGGGATGAGGATACTGCCGCTGGCCGCGGGGTTGAACCCGAACACGGCGAGAGCCGTAACTGGTGCGTAGAAGAGGACCGTCCACCGGGCGGCCACTGAAGGGACAAAAAAGCGTCAGGGCAAGGATCAAATGAACGTTATAGTGGAGATGGAAAAGACCAAACTCACTTAACCCGAGCTGCGCTACGCAGGAAAGCAGAGCCCCACGGTTCAACAAGACAGCGAGAGGAATTATCGGGTCGCGCGAGACGTATTTCTCGATCAGGACGAAGGCCACGAGAGCGCCCAACGACGAGGCGAGCGGAATGGGCTGGATGTTGGCCGAGAGGCCGAACAGGAAGAGGACCACTGTGGCGGACTTTACATGAGTTCGCAATAGCAACTTGACTGTCAGCATGTAATCTTTTTTTAATTTAATTTTTTTTTTTTTTTGCAGCCACAGGCACAGACCAACGAGCCCATAGAAGAGAACAAACAAGATTGAATGGGAGAAGGAGATAACGCACCAAGAAGAAAGCACCGAGATAGTCGAGCCGCTTCAGCTTGGTGCCGAGCGGCGTGTCGTCATCGTGTTGTTGGCCTGGGGAGGTCAAGTGGCTGGGAATGCTGAAGAAGATGGCGCAGCCGGCTAGGAGGCTCACTGGTGCCTGGATCCAGAAGAGAGTTCTCTGTGTAGATGTGAGCAGACGAGTTCAAATCGGGCCAGACGCGCAAAGGGGAATGCTGGGGAGGAAGGGGGAGGCCATGATCATCAGAAGTAAATATCGTACCCAACCGGTTGAAGCTATGAATGCGCCGAACACGACGGCTCCGAGCGAGACGCCGGTGGTGAATCCGGCGTTTCTGTTTTGAGATGACTAGTTAGCGCCGAAACCTTGGAGGCATAGTCCTCTTTCAAAACGGAATGAAGTGGAAGGATTACAAGTATTAAAAAAGAAAAAGGAACAAAGGAAAAACTCACGTAAGACCAATATATAACCCCCTATTCCTCTTCGTCGTGAGCTCCAGCACGAGGATGAAGGCCAGGATCATCGTCCCGCCGCCTCCCATGCCCGTGACGACCCTGCCGGCGATAAAGCTGGCGAAGCTCTTCGCCTGTGCCGTCATCGCGCACCCGACGGCGAAGAGCACGGACGAGGCCAGGACCATGTTCCGCGGGGAGAAGATGCTGGACAGCTTCCCCATCAAGGGGGACGTGGTGGACGCGGCCACGAGGAAGGACGTGGTGAACCACATCGCGTTCTCGTACGAGTCCAGGTCCTCCGCTATGGTCGACTGCGCCATCGTTATGCCGCTCATATTCACGGCTATTTATTATGGGTTTTATATCATGTAATTAGCTCATGTCGGTTTCGTTAAGAGGGGTTTTGACATTTTCTGGGGTGTCAGGGCCGAGGTGTGCGGTCCATAAGCTTTCAAGCGTAAAAAGGTAGACAGACAGACGGGTGTATAAAAAGTGAGATAAGATGAGATACAAAAAGACACACCTGTAAAATACTCGTGAAAAGGGAGATGAAATAAATTCTATGGGTAACACAAAGAAAAAAAAAACTTACCAAGCAAGAAAATCAACACGTAAACACTGAGAATAATAGCAACCGCTCTCTTCTTCGTGACCTTTTGGTTGGGGACGTCCAAGCCATCACCATCATCATCATCATCCTCTTCTCCGGGTGTGCCGGAAGCAGCAGCAGGACCCGCGCCCGAGCTCGCCGCTGTGGACCTCGATGAAGCAGACTGCGACGGGAAAGAGTCGGATACGCTTCTGCCACTGTCTTCCAGAAGCGGCGTGCTCTCATTGGCCGTTGCCGCTGTCGTTCCGTTCGCCATCTTCCCGTTGTTATTTTTTTTTGCCCAGGTGTTTTTGTCTCGTGGTCAACAACAACTTATAGAGACCACCCAACTGACCATTCCCACCCCGTTTGCCGATGAAGAGGCAGGTAATTATGTAGGTTAGGTAGGTAGGTACCGCTGTACACAAATCGGTATGATACAGACAGAGGATGTTTGTTACCTCATTACTTGGCTCGCGCCACGGTTCGCCTTTCTAATTAGGAATTTGGTACAGAGTGCCAAGCTGAAGCGTTATGTAAGTAAAAAACAGTATTTAGGTAATAATTGTATGCTGCACGTACCGACAATCAAAACACCAGAGAACAATTTTGGGAAATCGCAATGGTCCTCTTCGCCCTTTCTTTGTACAAGAATTAACTTAGCCAAGTAAACTTGGTTACTTAGGTTACATGATTTTAATTCAGATATGTAAGCAAACAGACCGAGGAAACTGCTCACAGTCGGGTTAGGTTGGCCGAATTGTTAGTGGATATTGACGCTGATTGGTAAGCTGACCTCATTGAATAAGTTACCTGGTTACTTGTACTGCCGTGACAGGTACCTTGCTATGCCCGAGATTTCTTGTGCAGGTATGGCGATCAGACTCAGACAGTTGCAAAACAAAACCATCATAAATCAATTGACAGAGCAGATATGACTACTCGGGTATCTAAATACTACCTAACCTAACCTAACCTGTACGCTATGATGTTCACCTTTTTTGTGTCCCTGAAACCCCAAGACGCCTGGCCGCTTGATTTTCCTCATTAGATATGTCGTTAAATCGTCGTTTGCCCCCCTAGCCGGTAGACCGTAGTGCATACTACCTTATCTTACTCGTAAATTTCCTTGTTGTACTGGCCAAGTCATTCTGAAGGCTTTGTTTGTTGACGGCCAAGCCCGTATGATGCCAGGCAATTAGATATGACGCTTTTCGGCTTCGCTTCTCAACAGGTTATGTTGACCTACACGCCGTCTGTGGACTCCCGATGTTCCGTTGCCGGCCGCTCTGAGCTCCTCCGTCTCCGCCCATTTCCAAGGACGACCGACAGTCTCTTGGCGAAGCTCAGCTTCTCGATATCCGGAAGCCCATGGACCGACGCCCGCCTCCTTGCCGCGATAATCGCATCCAGTTCCATCTCGCGATTGGCCCGGTCTTGGATCATCTGTTGCTGTTCAGGGCCCACACGGGCATCGACGAGCGCTCGGGCGTCGTGCTTGAAATTGAGAAATATAGTGAAGAAGCCCGAGAGGACCAAAAGAGCGGGCACCAGCGCAAATGCTGTCTGATAGCTGGCACCACCTCGGTGAGCAGCGTAGACTACGGAACAAGCTCGAGTTAGCGGAAACCATTATCTTCGCGGGGGACAGCCAGACTCACCAACAAACGGCCAGAATGCCGGCCCTGATGCCCCCATGGTTATGTAGGCTGCCGCCCGCTTCGTACGTTGGCCTTGCCCTCGGAGTCCAAGCGTATAGATGAGAGGCCACATCGGCCCTTCGAAGAAGAAGAAAAGCACGACAGGAATGACAAGAAGGTTAGGGTTTGCCGGACGGAGCGCTGCAACCAGGATGCCGGTCACGATACTGAGAACTGTGCAAATATTCAGTATCGTCCGAGGCTGGGGTACTCTCGGGTGTGTCGGCGACAGGTACGCAAGGTACGCGGCAAAAAAGCGGGACAGCGCGAAAGCAGCGCGGGCAATCATGAGCAGGTCGGTAGTCGGCAGACTCAGCCTACTCTCGCCCTCGGATGCGACCTGCATAAGGCTCACCCCTGTAGATGGGCCTGCTGGTGGAGAGCGGTCCAAGCTCGGGATCAAGAGGTCTCTGAAAAAGACGCTCATGGTTTCTTGACAGGCAACATAGGCCCACTGGGCAAGTACCGCCAGGGACAGACTCCAAGTGCGCAGTTGGAGGCCGAAGAAACTGCGCTTTTTCGGATCTACAGGGAGGTATCGTGTCGAGTTCTCCATCTCTGCATCCGTGACTTCTGGTAAGGGCATGTAGTAAATGAGCAGCGCGAGCGCAACGCAGAGGAGCGTGATGGCCAAAAAGGTCCACTGCACCTCGAGGAGCGTCGTCGGGCCCGTATAGCCGTGATTGCTAAGCTGAACAAAGAACACTTTCTGGGCGAGCACTCCGCTCAGGACGGTGGCTACCGCTTGAACGCCCTGCGAGGTACAGAGTCTCAT